AGGCTTAGGCAAAGGTCCGAGGACGGTCGCACTGCAAAGCCTTCGGTGGCTGTTATGCGCAAAGCGAAAGCTTTCAGTCTCTGAATTCATTGCGGCTGTCAGCAAGTCCCCTATGGGCTCTACATCAGTGTCAGCGGGATCCATTTTAGATTACTGCTGCAACCTGATTGTCATCGACCATGTGGCAGACACATTCCGCTTTGCCCATATCACGGTCCGAGAGTAAGATTCTGGACTAAACGAGTGGAACAGATATGGTGCTGACAGCTTGTACACAGGTTCCTCGAGTCATTGTCCGATAACTCTATCCTTGAAGCTGACTCAACAATAGCCCAGAGATGCTTAGGCACTTACCTTTGGGGCGACTTCAGCGAGGACGGCCTTTTAGAATATGCAACCCAGTACTGGCCCGCCCACGTGGAGCAGCTCAGCGGATCTTCCCAAAGACTTGAGATCCAGAAACTCATCATCGAATTTCTCACTGAAGAAGAGCACTTCGAAGACTGGACTGAATGTCTTGATGAACGTCCAGTCGAGCGGGGTTATAAATGGAGTAGCGCGCTTGAGAGGAAGCTCGAAGCGTGCTTGGCTTCGCCACCGTCAGCCCTGTTCACAGTTTGCTGTTTTGGCCTTTCCGAAGCTCTAGAGTGTCCAGAGGCCATAAAAATGATTGATGTGAACCAGACGAACAGACATGGAACTTCAGGCGTGTATCTGGCTGCTCGCTGGGGCTACACTGAAGTAGTCCGGAAACTACTTCAACTGGGCGCTGATGTCAACGGACCCGGGTATCAATATGGAAGTCCACTCCAAGCAGCGTCATTTGGTGGCCATATAGACATTGTCAAAATTCTGCTTGACCGCGGTGTCACTGCCCCTCCGACTGAGCAAGGCGAGTACTCAAGTCCACTCCAAGCAGCTCTAGCAAGTGGCCATGATGATATTGCCGAGATCCTAATTGACAGTGGTCCCCATCTTGCCACACAAATCCAATTCACTGATGCGCTAGAGACCGCCAGCTTCAAAGGATCTACTGAGATAGTGGAGCAACTTTTAGCCGGCAAGGCTGGCAGCTTCACCCCTGATATTCGCCCTGACCCTCTCCAGGTGGCCCTCTTCGGTGGCAAAGCAAGGCAAGCAAAGCGGTTGCTACAGTGCTGCACTGATGTCAATGAAGAAAAAGGCTACTTCGTAAATGCCCTCGCTGCCGCCATCGCTGGTCGTAAACTCGCGCTCGTGCAATTGGTTGTCGATGCGGGAGCAGATCTTAACGCTCGCGGACGTTTTGGCTTCCCGTTGCGGGCGGCCACGATAGCTAATCAGCTTGACATTGCGAGATACTTCATTGATAGAGGAGTTGACCCCAATCTCAGAGATGAAGAGTTAGGTGACCCACTTCAAGCTGCCGCCTCTTCTGGGAACCTAGACATGATGCTTTTGCTTCTGTCCCATAATGCATCTGTAGATGGTTGTGGAGGGCACTTCAGCAATGCACTACAAGCTGCCTGCTTCAATGGTCATGAGCAGGCCGTTCGTCTTTTGATTGATCATGGTGCTTCATTGAATCACAAGGGCCGGTATCGAGACGCACTGCAAGCTGCCGTATACGGTGGCCATGAAAAGACTGTCGAGATCCTTCTCGTAGCTGGTGCTAGGCTTAACCCAGGACGACGTGGTAGGGCATATCTATGCGCCTTCGACGACTGGACGGAGAGAATTGCGTTACCGGGCACAAGAAAAGGGTGTGGGGAGCTGGACATTCCTACGGATCTAGGTCCACTAGAGATCGCTGCTAGACGAGGCGACGTCAAATTAGTCGAACTGCTCCTAGCTAAAGGAGCAACGATCGACGCTCGTGACGCGAATGATCAAGACAATGAATATAACAAAGGGTGTGCGTACACCGCACTACAGATTGCGGCTTTTTGGGGACATCTCGCTGTGGTGGAGTGTCTTTTGGATCGTGGAGCCGATATTGATGCGGTACGACAGACACTTGGAACTCCATTGCAGGCGGCTTTGGAAGGGTGTCACTTCGATATCGCAGATGTGCTCTTGTCCCGGGGTGCAAGCATAGATAGGCATTGGGCAATGTTTGGATCCTGCTTACAGGTCTTTTCCGAGCGAGGACATATTGAGACAGTCAGGTTTTTACTGGAGCGCGGAGCGAACATTGAAGATCGTGGAGGCGAGAACGGAAATGCACTCCAGGTAGCTTGCAATGCAGGACACATTGCCATTGTGAAATTGTTACTTGACAGCGGTGCCAATGTAAGGTCGCCTGGACGGAAATTAGGCAACGCTCTGCAAGCTGCATCAATGGCCGGACATCTCGACATAGTGAAGTTGCTAGTTCACCATGGTATAGGAGTGGACGAAGCCGATAGCAATTCTCAAACGGCGCTTTGCCTGGCTGCAGAAAAAGGGGACGAGGATATGATGAATTTTCTGCTCCAACAAGGAGCTAAAGTTGATGGCAATTCCGTTCTGTCGTCCGGTGAAAGACTCGGAGACTCGGAATCAGGCGGCAAGGTTGAGCGTGACGACGACGTTATTGCAATACCATTGCATATCGCCTCCTATCGTGGAAAAGAGTCTGCCGTCGCAATTCTTCTCCGCAATGGAGCAACTGTTCATGCCAAAGGAAAGCTGCGGGAGAAGGGATCGGGCCCATCTGATGAATGCGAATTCAGCAGACTACATAGCACCCCTTTATTCGCGGCATGCTTTTGGGGCCATGAGTCGATTGCGAAACGACTATTTCTATGCGACCCGTGGGGATATGTGTCTCGTGACACATTCACATCTGCCGTAGAGACGAGCCTTGCCCGTAAGAAGGAGTCCATTTCAACAATGCTGGTTCAAGAAGCATTCCATGCAGGATTCAAAGCGGAACAACTTGACGGTGTGTTCAAGTATGCTTGTGCAGAAGGATACGCTGCGGTTGTGACACAGATACTCGAGCATTGTAGTCTGGAACATTGGCCAGATGCAATGTTGGTTGCTACGAAGCAGGGAAGGTGTGCCGTTGTCGATGTTTTACTTCAGCATGGAGCTGACAAGGACTCCTGTGACGAACATGGCAATCTCTGTCTTGACATTGCAATTGAAAAGGTTAAATATTATCGTTATACCTGGTGGAGTTTCAATCCACCAAATTGGATTGAAATAGTCCGGATCTTGCTTTGTGCAGGGGCAGACACAAATGATCTACCAAACAAGATCAAAGAAATCGCCCCCGACGTTGTACGACGGGGGAGCCTTGATGTTTGGAAGGCATTGGACCACCATCAATATGAGGTGCTGAACGACCCTGGACTGTATCCACAGTTTCTGATTTGGGCATCGGAAACCGGTGACCTTGATAAGATCAAATATGTGGCTGACAAGTATGACCCTTCAACCGATGATATTAAGTCTGCCGTTATTGCTGCTATCGAAGAGGTACGGAACAGCGTATCCCCTGTTGAGGCACTGATGAAGCTCAAGACCCCATTATCCTTCGGCAGAAGCGGCGATGGAGATGACGATAGAGAGCCATTAGTCATCTCGTCCAGCAAGGCATACACTGAGATTGTCTCTGTTTTGCTCCAGTACGCAACACACAGTTCTTCAACAGTTGAAGCAGCGTTAAAAGCCGCCATCACACGCAACAATGCCGCCTGCGCACGACTAATTGTTGACTCGCAATTTGACAATCCATCTGAGCGAATAACTATATGCTCTCGCCTTATCAAATACTGTTTCCCCTTTAGCTCGAAACCCATGATCGAGTATTTGCTACAGCAAGGGGTATCCCCGAATACAAGGGACCCCGAAACGGGAGAAACGCTATTGTACATTGCCGCCATGAAGTATGACAGCAAAGGAACCAACGTTCTTATCTCGCATGGTGCTGATGTTCTTCCCATGGGAGGAGAGCATGGAACAGCGTTACATGCAGCAGCCGTCTCTGGGTCCTGGAAAACAGTGCAGTTGTTGCTTTCTGCAGGTGCAGATATCGATGCTCGGGGTGGGAGTTATGGTACGGCACTTATAGCGGTGATGGCACAGAAGTGGAATGGAACTTGCTGGCTGGCTAGGTTCAAAACACCCTGCAGTTGGGAATGTCATCGATGCGTTGCGAGAGTACTCCTAGAGTGGGATGCGGATGTTGATGCTGAGGGCGGAGAGTTTGGGACGGCCTTACAGGCTGCCGAGAGAGTGGGTAATGAGGAGGGCATAAAGATGCTCATGGGGGATTGTGAAGTGATCGTGGGAGATTATAATGCGCAGGTTGATTACACGGACGATAGTGACTCGCAGGATTCGGATTGATGAAGTCTTCTTTGTTTGGTTCATGATTATTTTATAATTTTCAGAACATGTCTATATAGGTATTTCGCCTGTGCTATACACCAGGGTACTTGTCGGTAGCCACGGTAATGGTACTGGAGTTTATAATGGTCTTGCTATCAGTATGGATGTAATAAGCCGAAGCGACGTTGATTCGCAGCCAAAGGAACAACAAAGCGTGCTCTTCCATGTGCGGGTGAAGGCCCGCATCCATGGTGAGTTATCAGACGACATGGGGGTTCATTCATATTACTTGCAGCCACTGCACCATCAGCTCTGACGATGTGCCTTTCCAGAAGCAGTCCAGAAGGTATCAATCCTAGTTACGCAGCCAAGTCACGGTAACGGACCTTGGTAACAGGGGATACTACTAGTTCCAGTCCTTTCTGAGACCTCTACAAGCTACCTCCACTCTAGTAATTACACCCGGCAAAAACCTATAAACTATGTGCTTACCAACCCGCGTTGTACAAAGTTGCGTCGAATCGGCCGAAAGAAGCAGACTGCCCTGTCCAAGTGAGGGGCCATGCGGGGAATCTGAATACTTAAGGTCCCCTGCGCACCCTATGTAAATCACAACTACAATCATCACAATTCCACTGCCAGCACTGCCCCATATCACAAATATTCTCTACTAGACGCCTTCAAGCAACAATCCCCGCAAAATGCCATTGTATGAAATCGAGCACAGCATCCCCCTGGACAAGTCACAGCGCGATGAACTTGCCCAGGCCATCACCCACATCCACACCCGCAAGTTTGCCACACCTAGCTTGTTCGTGAACATTCGTTTCATAGATGCCAACCGCCAGCATAATTATGTAGCGGGAAAGGAGGTGAGTAACTAGCAGTTCTTCTTAACCAGAGAAGTAGGGTAACTTAACACCTCTACTTCAATGCAGCGTGCCATCAACCGCCTCATGGCATATGTTCGGGCGGGTGGAACACGAACAACGGCTGATTTCGATGACCTTTCCCAGCGTGTCTCGGATGCTTGGGGTAAAGTCGTCAATAAGAACGAGGAGGCTTCGAAGGAGAGACAACTGAATGCTGTGTTTGTGCTGGGTGCAATAACGACCGGCACGGAGAATGGGTTTCTGCTACCGCGGGTAAGAGATACTATTGTTCATATCATGCACACCTTGGTATTCTGGTGGAAAGCAGTGTTTGTTGGGATTGGGCTAATCGGATGTTGATTACAGGCTGGGGAGGATGCTAGTTGGCTCAAGTCTAATGCTTCGAAGTTCGAGGAGTTGGCGAAGGAAGGGGATGGTGATTTTGCTGAATTGGTTGGGGAGATAAGGAGTAGGGATGATCTATCTGTTTAATTTCAGGGGGACATGCATAATGCGTGGCTTTCGAGTGAATGGGAGGTATTTAGACAACGAAGGCCTGTCTCCTCCGTTGGAGATATCTACTATTACACATGACTGTTGAGATATAAGAGAGTTCGGGCATAAATTCACACTTGGACCATCTTTAATTACAAGGTATACAGATCAATGGTCAGTGAGGAAGTAGTAAGGCTGCCATATGTGTTTGATTTGTAATGCAGACTTGGGTGGGTTGTTCGCCTCCAATCGGCCATGTGGGTCGTACGCCCTGCAGTTGACACTTGCATGACGCCGTGGGATAGAACACTCTACCAAACACACCCAAGGACTTATTGTCAATGAGGATTTCATAATTCTTAGTGTCGATGCCTGAAGCGGCCGCTAAATAAAAACTCCGTATCACGCACTAGCATAGACTGTTCAGCGTTCCAACCCGAGCTTCGCATATTGGTCGGTGAACTCCCTATATAGCTTGTCAAGCGACAGAAGATTCAACGGATCTTTGTCATCATCCTGATCCATGAAACAAAGCATATTGTGGATTTCGAATATAATAGCCAGCATATACCCGAGCTCAGCCTCCTCAAAGACCTCCTTTCCTGTATCTGAGTCACCTGTTTTCTCATTCCATTGACTTGCATACTCTGCACAAAAGTGCCTCTTTTCCTCCTCTGAGTAAGGTCGACAATCCGCAATCTGGCTCTCCTCGTTGAACCACTGGAACATCTTTTGCAGGAAGTGTGCACCAATATCGAACGCCCGGTAGTTGCGAAAGACGAATTCGAAGTCGATAAGAACCACTTTGCCTTCTCCCACTTTTGGATTGTTCCTCACCAAAACGTTCATAAATTGGAAGTCGTGGATGCACCAGCCCTCCTTCGCTTGGATGCATTCCAGTTTATCTATAACCCGTCGAAGTCTAGACACAAAGTCATAATCCACGAGATGATCCAAGCAGACGCCTCCTTCATGAGCTAGTCTCCTCAACTTATCCTTCCCATGATACTTGTCAAGCTCCCTAGTGACAGTATCATAGTACGTTTGGACTGGATTCCTCCTCAGTAAGGTCGTATCCATAGCATGGAAAGTGGCAAGTGCTCTCGCAACCTCAGCCCGAATTTCGGGATTTTCAACGTCCTGTGGTACCAACGTGCGTGCATACAAGTACTCATCGACCCTGCCGAAGATTCCATTCTCACTTTGGAAAAAGCCAAGCACATTTGCGCCATGGCCAGATTGGCCGTACTCGTAGCTTAATTGCGCTTCTTCGTGCTTGGTAGGAACTAGATGCTCGAAGACTTCGATTTCCCCATCAAGTTCACCGTGGATCTTAAGGAATACCTCCAATGGCTCCAAGTGTGATGTATTGCCTGTTGTGCTCGGTCGCTCCACTATACAGTTTGTATTTGCGTATCCGGTTGTGCGTGTCACTGTGAGGGTGTCTGGGTCCACATGCGGCCATTCGCGGGGGAGAAATGTGCCGATGATGGTTTTGGCTGTCGCCTTTGGTAGTAGGCTATCATGGCTATTCTTTGGGATTGTCACAGGGATGGTTGTGCAGGATGTCATTTTGCTGGGGTGGGGGAAGTAGTGTAGTTATCAGATTATAGTAGCAAGATCTGAAAGATATATGTATTCTCTAAAGAGGCCGAAGCTTAGATAAGACGATCTGCTACTTTCTCTGATCGTCCAGCCATGGTGACATTGTGTCATGCCATTATTGGCTGAGAACATGGCAGTGAAGATAAGGCTGTGCACCTGGTGAGTCATCAGCGCAGCCATCTGCCTAGGCAACAACCGTTTTTACTTTTTATTGTCGCCCTGCTTATGCTTGAAAATAATCATATATTTTCTCGATTTCACATATGCAACGCATAATACCTATCATAAGAACTACCATAAATGCTACTGTGACAGTTATAGATGCTGGGTCTCCCTAACAGTTTCAAGTGCGGCTTATTGAGGGCGTGACACTTCAGGGAACATTGCACTCCACATGGAGATTATAGCTGTTCTTTGATGATAGGCTGAGTATTATCAGCTAATCAGTCCGTCAATCTGAGATCGGCGCGCGCGGGGGAAAGTGCCTCTAGTAAGAACGGGGCTGGGTGACCATTCTGGTATGTAAGTTAATACTAGAAAGGTCGCTCCGCTCAAACCGTTCAGTATTTATGAGGTCGGTTTGGCTGGGGAAGCAGTCAGCCTCTGGGTGAGAGGATAAGAAAATATAAGGATAGCCAGTGTCCAGGCTCATTGCAAGGTAAATTATCGTACATACACGCAAAAGATGAATCAATCCTTCCCACTGTAAGAACGCAAGGTTTGCCACTGTGTAAGAGCTAGATCCTAGCCCATGCATTTGAATGAGCTCATTATATAAACGAAACGGTGCATGTGCCTCAACAGGTCATTGAATAATCAATTTTCCTATTTCCTCGCGGCATAACCTCGGCGTGGTAGTATACTGTTGCTGTAGGCAAGCCCTCACTTACCGGTAAAGACTCCTATATAGGCGATTTATACCCATATAGCTACAAACGGGAGTTAATGTGAGGCCGTTGGGTAAAGGTTGAAACAATCAAGGCCTACTGCAACTTTTTGTTGGACACACGACGAGCGATTAAAAGTAAAACACATCCTGCTAGCTTGGACTCATGACAGTATCACATCTTATTTGGGACAAGCAATACCTTAACTCCATGGCCTACTATGTTAATGCAGACCGACAATAGGCTGTGTTCCACTGAAATAGTATATAATCAGAGATATAGTCCAGCGGCCTGGGTATGGCGATGGACCGTCACCTTAGATAGACACATCGGGAAGCTAAATTTTTTGGACCGTAGGCGGGGGTTGGACTCTCGGTTTCTTTCTTCATTCTTTTCTTTCCTGTAGGAATGGCTCACCTGCGTCGTATATGTGAATCATGATTGCGGTTATTTTGCCTCATAGTTTGTACTGCCATACGTTGCGGTTACCGCCTATGTGTTCCCGTATCTTAAGTGTGGTCATTCAAACTATGATGCTGGAATGACAGACTACACTTGGAAAGTTGATGGTAAACACCAAGTTGTCTTCTACTATATTCCTCGCAATATCTCCTAGGCGATAAACAAATGCACACAAAATCACATAGCCCCCGGGTTGCGCCTACCTAACAGGGAACAATCCCAGCTGTCAGAGTATGTGGTATGGCATTAACACCTATGCCAAGCAAGGTTTAGCCAACACCAGAACATCATGACGTAGTGCAAGCTCAGCTATCGTGATAGGAAGATGAAGGAAATTCAGAAAGAGGTACCGGGGCATGTCCTGGCGACGAGCTGAACCCGCCATGGTCTCGGAACCAGCATGAAAGGCGACATTGGACATTCATTTATTATACCCACTTTCCACCAACACACCTTGACAGCTCTCTGTATATCCAAATATGTTAGCTGCATTTAAGATACACATACGTCCGAGCTGGAAGAAGGGATCTAAGAACCCGCCTACACGAAATCATAGTGAGTGCACCATGACCAAAATGGATGGTTTCAAGATTAACTGCTCGCTGCCCAGTCCATCCTGGGGTAAGCCTTACGATCGTTCCCTTTATGACGTAACTGCCTGAATATAATTGTCTTTACTCTATGACTAGCTGCTCTGACAGCACTTTCTGATAGAAGTACACAGGGTTGGAGACTGCAGCCTAGAATTGGAGGTTGGAGACCCCGACTTGGCAGGAGGATGATACCTACGTGAACTTGTGTAGCAATCAACAACCTTTAACATCCCATATTGTTCACTGATTAGAAGCAGAAGATTAGACGTCTACACAAAATACCATGTCACCTGTATCTCAAAGCCAAATCCCTACATCCACCAGCGGCTGGACCCTCGTTGGCACTGCTCCCGACGACGGCTCTGGGGCTCTAGTGTGGAAAGATGAGCTCGAGCTTCCCAAGCTTGGTCCAACTGATGTTCTAGTGAAGCTGCACGCATGGGCTCTGAACTATCCCGACATCTCTAGGAAGCAACCTCTCCATCATTTCACGACACAACTCTCATACTAACATACGTTGTAAACGCAGTCGCCAATGGCACCTTCCCCTGGTCCCCAGCAGACCACGGCACGGGCAGCCTGATCCCGGGATCCGACGGCTCAGGCGAAGTCGTAGCAATTGGCTCTCACGTTACGCGCTTCAAGCCCACCGACCGCGTAATCGTTGTGTACTACCCGAACTTCCTCTTCGGTGCTGCACCTACCTACGCTCAAATGAGCGGCAGTCCCGGCAGCAATAAGGACAGCCCCGGCACGTTTCGGCACCACGGGGTGTTCAACGAAAACGGCGGTCTGATTCATATGCCCAGCAATCTGAGTTACAGTGAGGCGGCAACCCTGCCTTGCTCTGCGCTGACGGCTTGGAATGCTCTACATGGGCTGAAGCCATTAAAGGCGGGAGAGTATGTTCTTGCCCAAGGGACGGGAGGGGTTTCGTTGTTTGCTATGTTGTTTGCGTTGAAGGCTGGAGCAGTTGTTATTGCAACTACTTCTTCCGACGAGAAAGCTCGCAGGCTCAAGGAGATGGGAGTGCAACATGTTCTCAGCTATAAACAGGATCCGAACTGGGGAGAAACCGCCACGAAGTTGACACGCGGCGAGCTGGGCTGTCAGCGAGTGATCGAGGTTGGTGGAGCGCAGACTATCAAACAGTCGTTCGAATGTGTCGCGAGAGGAGGGGAGATTGATGTTATTGGATTTTTGACGGGGCAGGGACATGCGGAGGATGGGCCCACGTACCTCGAGCCGCTATTGCGAGCTTGCACGGTCAGGGGCATTGAAGTAGGGAACTGGGTCCAGTTCGAGGAGATGAATCGCGCAATTGAGGCGTATGATATTAGGCCTGTTGTTGATGGGAAGGTATTTGGATTTGGGGAGTTGAGGGAGGCGTATAAGTATGTTTGGGACCAGAAACATTTTGGCAAGGTTGTGCTGTCTGATGGGGAGCAGTGAAGGGACGCTACGCCGACGCGCAGTATGAAACTAGGTTATGTTCGTAATGCGTGTGCCGTCCTGTCTCCGTTCTGAAGTATCGTAGCTGGTATCATCAGGACAGGGTATGATGAACGAAATTTCAGTCGAAGTGGAGTCAAATAGACTCTGGACATTCGAGTATTGCTTGATACAAGGTTGATTGGGAATATTAGTATCCTATCCCGTGCCTGCATGCCACAATCCACGAGATTCATATCCATTGGAATATGGGGCTAATGCTTTGTTGTTGATAATGTTGGTGCCTCCTCCGCTACTCGCGCGATATCGGAGACATGGAGAAGGCGCTGCACCTGAATGCAACCGGGTAATTTCCGAACTGCCCGTTCCGGATTATTCTTGTCATGCGTGCTATAAAGGGTCAGCATGTCGTGTACTTAATTGTGGTGGGGTTCGTGAGAGAAATTAGGAGCAGCTATCAGAGCCGGTCCAAGTCTTGGGGTTAGATTTTGGAGAGTATTTGGAGACCAGCCCGATTAAAGTCGGGGCCCCCAACCGTCGAGGGTGCGTGACTTGATGAGCACTCTTTTCGATCTCTTTACGAATGAACAAACCGGGCCAGAGGGAACATCATCTTGGTGTTAATTCACTAAACCAAGGGTAGAAGTATATATGAACCACTTCCACTATTCACGAAATCCAAAATGCAAAACTCAAGAAGTCCACAACTCATTGCTATAATCTGTCAAGTCTCGAATAAATACCGACTCCCTCAAGTAGATACATGACTCAAAGAGCAAAGTTGATAACAGGCCGATACCTTATCGTCCTCTCATTCATGTCCTCGAACGCCCTTTCAATATCTCCCAGTGCGTACTGCTTCGTTAGGCACTTGACGTCCTGGATATGCGCGAAGTCAATCGCTTCACTTGTCTCAGCAGCAAAGCCAGATGACCAGGTACGGACTTGCTTTCCATAGACAATAAGTGGGGTGAAGTCAATTGTCACGCCGTTGACAGCTAGACGAACCCTCGGTTAGTGGGAACTAAGAGAAGGCCGTGGGGTACAGGGATGTAGCGTACGAGCAATGAGGAGGATAGATCCACCAGGCGCCAACGCTCTGGTCATATTCTTTACCCTGCCGACATAAATAAGTTAGCCATTCGGAACAGGAAAAATGAAGGAAAAAAACAAAAAAATAAAGAACTCACAACTCAGGGCTGGGACAAAGAACAACCACCAAGCTCGCCCCTCCCTCCCTCTGCAGCACCTCCACCGCATCCTCCCTCTTCGAATTCACGAATAAATGCGCCCCCAGATTCATCGCATCGTCCCTCTTCTCTTCACTCTCGGATACCGCCACAGTTCGGTACCCCATCTTCCGCGCATACTGAATGGCAAGGTGTCCCAGCCCGCCGATGCCGCAGATGGCAACTGTGTCCCCTTGCGGCACGTTGCTTTTGCGAATCGCATTGAATGCCGTGATACCAGCGCACAGAAGCGGCGCTGTTGACACGGGGTCCCAGCTTGGGGAGATGCGGATTGCGGCTGAGGCGACCAAGGTGCAGTATTCCGAGACTTGACACACGTTAGCAACACGTGCTACATTTTGAGTCGGTTGAAGTCACGCACATCCGCCATTCCTCGTCACTCCATTGACTTCGAAATTCGTGCACACCTGCGGCATACCCCGCGCGCAGGCCTTGCATGTGCCATCGTTCCCCCCGTGCCAGGCGCCACCAGCGCGGTCGCCGAGCGCCCAGTCCTTGACATCTGGACCAAGGGCGACGACTTCACCAACGACTTCATGGCCAGCTACGAGGGGGTACTTCGTGCTGGGATAGCAATGGGTTGGCCAAGCTCAAAGCATAGGGCGAAACGGGCTGCGGACTTACATGAAGTCGAATTCTCCATTTTGGGTTGCGACGTCCTGCGCGGTTGGAAGTAGGAAGTTAGTAGTGCAGCCCCTAGGATTCCTCACTGTTCGTTCAAGATAGTTTTCAAGGGAAGGACACATACACTGTGGCACACGCCGCACGCCAGGGAGCGAATTAGAAGCTCGTTTGGTTTCGGCTTCGGCACGTCAACTTCTCGCAGTGCCCAGGAAGCTCCAGGGCCGTCGAGAACAACTGCTCTGCATCTAGCGGGGATGGGTTGAGGAATGGACATGGTGGTTATTCCGCTTGGACGGGGTAAATATAATTGGACTGTTGAATACAATGCGTCTGAACACTGATGGGCTCACAGAACAATTGATGCTCTCTCGACTCTAGGCCTTGCTCATGACATTTCTTGTCTTTATGTAGCTGTTTACTATACCTCATCTGGCTCTATGACATCAGGGTTGGACATGCGGTGCATGCGGCCCGCATGTGCCGTAGGGACAAGGATGCCAGGGAAGTCTTTATATCCTGCCTTGGCTGGAGTATTCATAGCTGCATATGAAATCATCCGATGATTGCGCGTGGCGTGTGTTTTGTGGGATTATCGTTCACATTATTGGCTCTACTACAACATCAATGTTGTCTGTCGATGTAGGGAAGGTGACTAGCTTATCATTGCAATTGGATAAATTGGTTTCTACCCTTCTGGAAGAGCCTATCCGGCCAGTAGCGCGCCCAGCGGTTAGAAAGCGCTTATCTGTAATGTTGGAGACCCCAATTCTATCCAGCCTTCCATCCGGGTAAACTCTCCACAAGAACTACGATGTCCCCAACAGCACCGACTGTTCACATGACTCCTTGGCCACCTACATGATGTAGCGACCGATAAAGGTACCTTTGACTATAGCCAGATACTCTCTTGTCTCTGAGAATAACCTTTACCACAGTTGCAGCGGTTGTCTTCATCATACCGCCAGAACAATATCGGCATACACCTCTCCATTGTTCCCCATTGTGTGACATGGTCGCTAAACGTCTGAAGCAATGGATGATAATCGGCATTACTGGACAATAATTACTTTCCGTTGAGTTGTAAAATGGCAATCTGACAGGGGATAGGACACATGCCTCCTTTCAGAGGATAAACCTCTGTGTCAATTACCCACATGTGTCGGGGCTTACTCTCATTTTGCTACTTCAAAGCTTTCACAGCTCGCCCGCGGCATCGGATACAAACTTCTGTGTCCATTTTGGGAGTACAATATTCTTAAGGTTGGATTCTAGAACGAGATGATTTATAGTATCTGAGTGGTAGATGTAATATCTCGAGCCAGGTGTGCGTCTTAAAGGACATACAGGAATACCGCACTTTCTGACGCCAACTACCAAGTCGAAATCTTAGTATGTAGCTTTCAGGAGGCTATTTTGTTGCTTAAGAAATCCTGGCTCTGGATTGACCATCCAATTCTTGCTTTGTTCGGGCGGCTTCTCCTAGCACCGAATCAGCGCTTTTTGGATTGCACTCGTCCATACCGGATTCTCCACATTGATGACCAACGCTTGTGTAAGATAACAACTCCTACAATGCAATAAGAATTGGACCAATTGGCCTAGTGGTTATGGCGTCTGTCTTACATAAGCAATGTAATTGTTACATAAATGTGAACACAGAAGGTCGCAGGTTCGATCCCTGCATTGGTCAATCCTTTTTCGCGAATCCAGAAACATTTTTTGTCCTCGTCCTCCTTACAAGGACTATTAGAGGACGGCAAGGCGTGGTAATAATGGCTCTGTTACAACAGCCGCTCGCTCTTTATGTATTCTGTATGGTATCATCAAGCTTTTGAGAGCATAAATAAATCAGAAGACGTTGCCCTCATTATTGGACACCACCCATTCTGTCATACTCGCAGCGGTCCAAGGATACATTGAGTGTGACAGCCTGAAGAATATGCTGCCTAAACAGGCCAAATAACTAGAAGTCCGTGTCTTTCACGAAGAATAACAGGTCTAGAGAAAGAAAGGAAAACTATCTACTCCCCTGGGATCGAGCCACTTTATATATCTTTGGGACTCAATACCTGTTCGGCAGATTCCTCCTATTTCTGTTACTTCCCTCGCTAACTTTCTTTCTAGTAATCCGGTTCTTCCCGTAGGGCTCTCGGCCTGTCCCGTCTTACCTCCTACTTAGTTCTGTTTCTTGATTTATCTCTCAGCAAGTTGCCATAAGCAATGCTTGGAGATTGGTGGGTCACGTGATATGGCATGGGATGACCCGGGTCTCACATTAAGTTGCTTCATGGTTCAGAAAAAACATATATTCTAAGCCAAGGGCCGACTCGAGTGACTACTGTCTACTTTGCTGGCCATGATGACGTAGGCAGAATACAGGAAGCGAGATTTATTAATGGAGACTACTAAGATAAGCCACCTCAACAAACTACACAAACCGGCCTTATTTATATATAATTGACACTGAATCTTTTCAACGAATGGGGTGACTAACTTAGCTCCTGTTGACTACTAGAGCTTCGTAACAGCTAACTCAAAGTATAGATATTACAAAGATAATAATTGAACCAATAAGTAGCTTTTTGGTATCTTGAAGCAAATTGAACATATTGAGAATAATGTACAAGTTACCTCAATAACAGACTATAATCCTATTGTAATAAAAGATTCTATAAGAATGCTGTTAAGTATCTCATAATTTTCTACATCCAGGTATGAGCATCTAGGATAATACTATCACACTGGTTAGTATATAGTGATTTAGAAATGATATCTCCTTGTATAGAAATTGGGCGGGTGGCTGGCACGGTAGGGAACTATTTTATTGGTAGTAACGCGACAAAGAGCCCACTCTCGAGAATAACAGATGGACTCTCAGGCTACAAATAATATAATACTACATCACAGATTCATACAAGAGCGTGTAGCTTAAGTATGGCTAAACAGACAGGAAGTCCCGTTTTTCACACCCCGTAGTCATATGTGCTCGACATCGTCCGATGGATAGATGTCCCGTACTTCCGTGAAAATGATAGGCTGGACAACATGCTGCTTATTGCTTAAGACTTGGAGACCCCAACATACCTTTGTTTCTCCCCAATCAATGTGACGTCTTTTAGGACCAAC